TAAACCTTTGCTGTGGCTTTTTCTGTTGAATAGTTGTAGGACTATGACTGTTGCTGAGATCTGGCCAGCATGGACTGCAGCCACAAGAAAAGGGTAGGTGACCGACCAACAGCACAAGACCGCCGGAATACGGAAAGCGAGCCAATGTGGTCGGCGGCGCAACAGTGACAATCCCGCTGAAACAAAGATATGAGGGCTGAAACTTCTTAGACCTCATATCCTAAGCATAAACAGATGGCCTACAGACCCGGCAGGCCATCGAAGTCCGTTTTGCTGAAAAATCAGAAAACGGACTTCCCTCAACTCTTCGCCATGAGACCCGGACGGCGCCCGAAACAGGCAACTTCATCCAAACGACGTCAGAATCAAACGAAACTTTGGAGAGGCCTTCCGTGTGATAAAGTGAGAGGGCCCACCAAGTTTTGGATGATTCTGAGGTCGTTTGGGGTAGGAAACACAGGCCTGTGTATTCCGGTTTTTCATACTTAGCAAAAAAAAAAACAGCAAAACGGCAAGTTGCCATAATCTGCAAATCTGCAAATATTGCGATTTTCTGCCAACTGTGTCTGCTGCAAAATCTGAGTTTTCTGCATATTAGCTGTAGGATAAAGTGTTGTGGACTGTGTTTTGCCTCCGGGGATTAGGGAGAAGGTCGGGCGACGGACCCGGACACTCGGGTTAGGAGACGACACGGAGCGAAGCCATCTCGCACTTTCTTCACCTTCCACCCTCTTCATCCTCCATCCCCCTCACCCATCCACCATAGCCGTCCACCTTGCACGGATGTCCAAAGGACAACCCAAAACACCGCCCACCTCCATCCACCTTCATCTTCCCCACCCATCCACCATAGCCAGCCACCTTGCACCTTCTTCCTCCACCTCCTCCTTCACCCGTCCGCCATAGCCAACCACCTTCCACCCTCTTCCTCCACCATCCCCTTCACCCATCCACCATAGCCAACCACCTTCCACCCTCTTCCTCCACCATCCCCTTCACCCATCCACCATAGCCAAACCACCTTCCACCTTCTTCCTCCACCACCCATCCACCATAGCCAACCACCTTCCACCTTCTTCCTCCACCACCCATCCACCATAGCCAATCACCTCCTACCTTCTTCCTCCTCCATCTCCCTCACCCATCCACCGTGGCTGTCCACCTTGCCCGGGATGTCCAAAAAACAACCGAAAACACCTCCCACCTTCATCCTCCTTTATCCCCCATCACCCGTCCACCATAGCTAACCACCTTCCACCTTCTTCCTCCACCACCTCCTTCACTCATCCACCATAGCCAACCATCTTCCACCTTCTTCCTTCACCATCTTCTTCGCCCATCCACCATAGCCGGTCACCTTGCACCTTCGCACTCCACCACCTCCTTCACCTATCCACCATAGCCCACCATCTCTCGCCTTCTTCCTCCACCATCTCCTTCACCCATCCACCATAGCCGGTCACCTTGCACCTTCTTCCTCCAGCATCTTCTTCACCCATCCACCATAGCCGCCCACCTCGCCCGGATGTCCAAAGGACAACCCAAAACACCTCCCACCTCCATCCTCCCTCATCCCCTTCACCCATCCGCCATAGCCAACCACCTTCCACCTTCTTCCTCCACAACCTCCATCACCCATCCGCCATAGCCAACCATCTTCCGCCTCCTTTCTCCACCATCCCCTTCACCCGTCCGCCATAGCCAGCCACCTTCCACCTCCTTCCTCCACCACCCATCCACCATAGCCAACCACCTTGCATCCTCTTCCGCCACCATCACCTTCACCCATCCACCGTAACCGCCCACCTCGCCCAGATGTCCAAAGGACAACCCAAAACACCTCCCACCTCCACCTCCATCACCCGTCCACCATAGCCAACCACCTTCCACCTTCTTCCTCCACCGTCTCCTTCACCTATTCACCATAGCCTACCCCCTCGCACCTTCCTCCTCCACCATCTCCTTCACCCATCCACCATAACCAACCACCTTCCACCATCTTCCTCCACCACCTCCTTCACTCATCCACCATAGCCAACCGCCTTCCACCTTCTTCCTCCACCACCCGTCCACCATAGCCAACCACCTTCCACCCTCTTCTTCCACCATCTCCTTCACCCATCCACCGTAGCGGACCACATTCCACTTTCTTCCTCCACCACCTCCTTCACCCATCCACCATAGCCAACCACCTTGCACCTTCTTCCTCCGCCATCTCCTCCACCCATCCACCATAGCCAACCACCTTCCGCCTTCTTCCTCCATCGCCTCCTTCRCCCATCCACCATAGCYGGTCACCTTGCACCTTCTCCCTCCTCCACCTCCTTCACCYATCCACCATAGCCGACCACCTTCCACCTTCTCTCTCCTCCACCTCCTTCGCCCATCCACCATAGCCGACCACCTTCCACCTTCTTCCTCCACCACCTCCTTCACCCATCCACCATAGCCAACCGTCTTCCACCTTCTTCCTTCTCCACCTCCGTCACCTATCCACCATAGTCGACCACCTTCAACCTTCTCCCTCCTTCACCTCCTTCACCCATCCACCATAGCTGACCGTCTTCCACCTTCTTCCTCCATCGTTTCCTTCACCCATCCACAATGGCCAACCACCTTCCACCCCCTTCCTCCACGATCTCCACCACCCATCCGCCATAGCCAACCACCTTGCACCCTTTTCCTCCACCATCACCTTCACCCATCCACCATAACCGGTCTCCTTGCACCTTCTTCCTCCTCCGTCCTCCGTCCGTCACTCAAGGGTCGTAAGTAACGAAGGCGCCAAGGAGAGCTAGGAAACACTAGGTAGGACGATAGGGTACGCTAAGGGGAGAAGTTGATTAGGGACTAGAGGTCTCTTCCTTCATCTCTCCTCTCTCTCTCTCTCTCTCCCTCTCTCTTCCTCACTTGGTGGAGTAACTCGGTCCACACTTGGTGGAGAAAGAGGGCAAGGGGAGGGTTGTCAGTCCCTTGTGCCACCAAGAGGGAAAAGTAAGGTCGCTTGAGGACAGTGAAAAGCAAGATCTTCAAAGGAAAGCAAAAAAGAGACAGTTTGGCACGAGGTCAGTTGACTCAACCATTTCCCCGACTGCATGACTAAGGAGAGTGCGTGGCCTGATTGCGAAGGAAAGGGAAAGTGGAAGGAACCTTGGGAAGGAAAGGGAACTTAGGCTTGCGGGAAGGGCAATGTGTTGACCCCTGTGGGGGATTGGATCGTTTTTTGCTTGTGTGGGTTTGTGCAGGTGAGTAGCTTGGGATGGTTTGAGCGGGACCGGACCGGGAAGACCGCGGGCCTGACATAGACCTTGATGCTGTTGGACCTTGGTATAGGATGCTTGGAAAAAAGGGGCGAGGGAGAAGTGGTGTGGCCTGGGATGATGGATGTGTGTGTCTTGACTCTTTGCATGCAATGGGGAAGCCTAGAAAGACTAAGGGCTTGCAACGGATATGTGAATGCAATACGTGTGTCGAGCAAAAAAAGAATAGGGGTAGGGGATGGATGGCGCCGCCTCACCCCGATGATGCCATAGGGATTGTTGCGCTTAGGAAAAGGGTGTGTGGCCCAAGGATGACGCTTGGCCTACGCACGAAAAGAAGAAGAGTTCTCAATAAACCCCCTGGACCGCATGAGTATTGGAAGGAGCAATTGCCTGGCCACACTTAAATGAATCGAGAAAACACCACGAGTGCCCAAAGAGCTACCATCTAACGCGAGAGCGGAGTTACATCCCCCAATGTAAAGCCCTCTCGTAAACGGCCCATCCCCACCCATCTCATAGCACTAGGTGGGAGTGCCCCTGAGACGAACAGTCCGCGCCCTGCGTGAGCGTGGGCGGGTTGAGCCAAATGGGACCTACAGTGGGGTCGACTCAGGCTCGAAAGTCTATCAGGGAAAGGCCCTACAAAAATGGTGGAGATGTCGGGTATGGGTTAAACTGACCCATACGATCTCGAGGGGGGTGCCCGATGCATGTGCGCGAACATAACTTAAGATAAGGAACGAGGACTTGTGTATGCCCTATCCCTTGAGAGAATCAGATTTGAGGGCGGCTGGGCGCATGGCAAGGCCAGGCCTGGAGGAATAACATGCGTGTTGCACACTTGGTTAGCCACCTTCGTGGGAGATGACTCTAGTCCTCCTTCTTCCGGGCTGATGCTCGTCCGTCCGCGGAAGCCTTGGGCAAGCCGCAGGTCGACCCTTCCTCTTCGTGCGAAAGAAGGGCTCCGGTTACCTGGCAGGCGGTTGTTGTTCGGCCTAGGCCGGATTCCAATGAAAATCCCGTGGCGGAGTGATCCGACCGACATGGGTGCCTTCTTCTCTCTTCTTCGGAGCTCCACGGGCTCTTCGCACTTTCACTTGAAATGCTTGAAGGAACCCCATACGAACAAAATGGTAATCGAGAAGGAACAATCCCGCCCTATGAACGGACATACAAGCGAAGATGAGGGGAACGAAAGGAGTTGCTAGACTCCAAGAAAACTAGCTCACCCTTGAAGATGCTCACGAAAAGGAACCAGGCACGATGTATGGAAATTAGGGGTGAGTGGCACACACGGTCCCGAGAGAAAAACGTCAGGGCATGGGTAGGAAGCGCTAGGAGCACCTTGGGAAAGACACTTGTATTATGTGTGTCCCACTTGGGACTTGTGGTCTGCATGAATGGGGAATTGAACGTCCTGCCATTTAGGAAGGAAAGGGTGGGTCTGCATCAGCTAGTGTGGGTTGCGAAACGTCGTTTTCTTCGGGTAGGCCGCCGGGTTTTATGTGCGAGGGTCGGGCCACCGGACTGTCAGGCAGGAGTTGGTCCCGTCGGTTGATTAGTAGCATTCCCTCCTGGGCGGGCCGAGCATCGCTCGTGACCTTACCCAGGCGGGGTGCGAAACGTCTCCTCAGGCGGGGCGGCTGCTTGTCGGCAGACGGCAGGGGGACCACTGCATATGGGGCACGGAGGGAGCTCCGGAGGCGATTAGTAGCCTCTCGCAGTACGGCGTGGTAAAGGCTGACTCTTATCGGACCGATGGATGTGAATGCCCGGACTGATGATTTCTGTCCCCACCGAGTACGCGGGGTAATTTCTGGTGCCAACGGGGGTGTACAAGAGCGACAAGATGGGATGGGGTATTCTGGGCAAGAAGGTGAGGGTGTCCCCCCACTGGAGTCTGGGTACCGCGCTCGCGACGGTTGAGCTGTGCTTGAGGTACGGGATAAAACTCTGCTGATAGTAACAATGGAGAGACAACTTTTGGAAAAAGGTCGGTGAGGAGATGACCGACCTGTGTGCGAGGATTGCCTGATTTTTTTTCTTTTTTGTGTCTACCTCTGTAAAGTTGCTTGGGATTATTGGGAAGGGACCAAGCCTTCTAAGTCTATTCTCGCCCCTATCTAAGTCCGCACAAGTGAGAGAAGATGGAAAAAAGCAAAGATAGGAGTCGGAAGGAAAGGAACCAAGAGAAGGAATGTCGGCGGATGGTGACCAACTTTGGGTGCGACAGGGCGACGGTATTTGGGAAATGGGCAAAGGGAAAATTTAGGGAGACCTTGATGAGGGGTCTAAAACAATTCTCATTTATGATTACGGTTGACCTAACCGAGGGCCGATTGGTGCTCTTTGAAAAAAGCAGGACTCGGCAACTAGGGAGGGACGAGATGGCACGGTGGTTGTCCTCGCCGACCTACTCCGGCGGACCAGAAATGCCGGTGGACGTAAAGGGTGGGGTATCGGTCGTGATGCCGGAAGAAGGGACGTGGACGGACCTGGAGCCGGCATACCAAACCGTGATGCTGGTTGAGAATAATGTCTTCCTATGGATTGAAACAATGTGGACCAAGGTTAGCTTGACGAGGTTAGCGTCGAGCTTGCTGGACTTAGAGTTTCGGGGGACCGTGGAGGCCCGGGGATGGGTCTACTTGTCTAAGGAAAAGGAAAACGCCATGATTATAGAGCTTGTTTTAGGATTACTCTCGTACAAGCTGTTCAAGGAGGTTGAGCAGGAAGTGGTGTGGGTCACGTGCCAGCGGGTGGAAATGGTGACGAAGGCGATTGATGTGCGAGTAGAACTTGGGGATAGAGGGAACGTGCGAAAGCCGTTTAGGACCTTGCCCTTTATGGTGGACGCCGTCTTCGGAAACCGGAGCAGGCTGGCGCAGATATGTAGATCCATGGCAAGTCTGGGGTTGTACCAAGGGGCCCGACAAGACTTCTGTCGCCTGTCTGTCGAGAAAGGGTCGTTCGAAGGGAATTGGGCAAAGGAACTAGCCACAATGCTAAACCATCTTAGTACGGACGGCCTGTTCGTCCCGAGCGACGTGCATTGGAAGATAGTTCACAGAAATGTCGCGATAGGGGAGACGTTTCTGGAAGGGATACAGGACTTGTGGTATGAGGAGGATGAAGACGACTCGGATGAGGAAGAGGGGGTAGAAATTGAGGATTGGGATTTCTAAAGGAGAGGGGCTCAGGGCTGCATGGCATGGGTGGATTGGGGTTGTGCAGGGGATCCAGGATGACCAGGGAATTCCAGCTAAGGGACTGCACGTTCAAAGGATGGGAGCCGAGACGAGTCGAAGGGGGGGGGGAGATGTCCATACTAGCGGATAATGAATGGAGAGGAGCCACGTGTGACTGGGTTGGATTTGAGATTGTGCCGGAATTGTCGAACCTTTGGGTAGAGCGCATCTGGAACCCGCTAAGAGAAGAGGAAGGATGGGAGGAGATTGCGAAAGGTAGGGTAGAATCGGTTGGGACGGTCGTCCTCTCCGAGCAGGGATGACACTTGTTTTGCACAACGCTCGTGGCAGGGCAGAGTCCGATGTGGCTTCTGGGGGATGCGGAGGCAAGGGTTCGAAAGGCAAGCGAGAGGTTTGCCAACAAAGGGTGGGATGAGGTCCGTAGTAAGGTCGTGATGGGAGGATGGAAGGAGTTTAGGCCTCCCTGTCTACGAACCAAGACTTGGGTACCCGAGTTCGTGGCAGACTGGTTTGGGGTTTTTGATCACGTCGCGGAAGTGACCAGCACTATGGGGCGGATACACATAAATTGTGCATGGCTGACAGAAGAATTCTATAAAACATCGTTGAGATTTGGGCCCTTCCACGGCGACAGAGCTTGGGAGGTCCTCATAATTCTGGACATAGACAGGAACGATCGGTTAGAAGTAGCTCCAGAGATCAGGGACGTCATAATCCGCCGGGAGGTAGCGGCGACACCTTGATATGTGGATGATGTGTTTAAATTGTTCGAAGTACTGTGGTTCGATTAAGAGCAGGGAAAACCCGAGCTAGCGGGGTAAGCTAGGGGGGAAAAGAGGGAGAAGGAAAAAGGAGAAGGAAAGGAAATTAGAAAGGGAAGGGCGGGACGTAGATGAAAGGGCATGAGCACTATGTAGGGCCAGTCGAGTGAAGGAATACTAAGGCAAGGAACGGGATGTCTGGACATTGTAGGGGTTGTTGAGAACCGCGGGAAAAGGATCGAAAGCAGGTATAGGGCACGCGATGGCACGACAGAGGACGTTCCTTGAGGATCGCCCACTGGGAGTTCAGCCGCCAAGGGAGGTCGCCGGCGGTGTGGAAATCAGCCTACCCACGACAAACGAGATTCGAAAACCAATGACGGATTGGATCGGGATTGAACTTATGGAAAATACGGTTTACTTGGTGACCAGGGTTGAGTGGCGGGCGGATGAGAATGGTGAGTGGAATCCGGACCCGTGGGGACATGTGCACGCGGAAGGGTGGTTGTATGTGTCGGAGGATGGATGGCGCGCGTTCGGAGTCCTACCGGCATCTGGGGAAGATCCAGTAAGCATGTTCAAGGAAGCATGACAGCTAGTGTGGCAGGCGGGGTTCGAGTTCGATGACCCGGGGTTCGATGATGTAACGACAAACCTTAGGGTAGCCATGACTGGGAGATTCAACTTGCCTAGTGAGAACGTTCGGACGAGGTTGCCGCCCTTCTTACTAGAACAGCTGGGTGGAGGGGTGGTCGAAAGAATGGATGGAATAAGCAGAGTTCGCTTGCTGTTTAGACTGTGCAGGGAACTGCTAATCAGCGATGGCAATGAGACACGCCCAGATGTCGCGACGACCCACGCACCCTCGACCGCCCATGGAAAGCGGAAATGGATGGGAAGTGTCACTCCCGACAAGCTACATAGTCCGAGGGATAGACACAAAATGGAGAGCTGTGACCTTGGGAAGGGACCAGGCGTTCATGATGGTAGAGTGTTTGTGGAGCGGTATGAGGTTCAATAGGGGGCCGGGGGATGACCTGTATGCAAAATTGAGGGTGACAGGGACCGTATACCTACCAGAGATTGGATGGCACGAGCTAGGAACTAAGATGGCACTGGAACACAGGTTGCTGCCACGATAGTGAACCGGATAGGCCAGGAGATTCGGGGGAGAAGGAATGCTGGACTGAGAACCCGGGTGGAGGTAGGAGGATGGCGAGAGTTCAGGGCCCCGATGACAGGATTGCGGTGCCGAGTGCCGAGTGCCTCGTTTCATGATAGATTTGGTATTTGACAGTCTCTCGAGGGCAAGAGACCTGGTGGACTCAACCTTAGTCTGGATCCACCACTTTCAGCCGCAGACGACGGGAATGTTTTACGGTGTGTCGGTTAGGCACGGGCCGTTTTAGGGGAATCAGGCCCGAGAACTACTTGAACTCATCGAAATCCTGATATTCGGGTTACCACGCTTGGCGTTTGAGGAGTATGAACCGATAATTATCAGGAAGATAGAAATGGGAGAAAACTGCCTTGCGGGGGTGGCTAACCTGTTTGACGAGCCTGACGAACAGAATAGGCATGAGGGGCCGGCGTGAGAAGGTACGGGGGAAAGGCAGCAAAAAGTAAAAGCTGGAAGTCAGAATGAGGGATTAACCATCTACGGAGGGTGGTGGTCGGAGTCCTGTTCTGCCTAGGAAACGGCAGGAAAGAGACCGGGAAGGCCACATCCATTAAGGACGCTGAGGGTATCCGGGGTTTGGGAAGGCAAAGGAGCCATCTTTGATTGGAGGGCCGCCAACCCTGGATGCCGCCTTAAAACCGAGGCACGGTAGTGACGGAACGCCGAACCCCGGCAGCGGACCTTCCGGCAGAGGAAAGGAAAGTTGCGCCCTGCTAAGTAAGAAGACGTAGGGTAAGCTGTCACGACAGATATGAGACGAGAAAATACGGAAATAAGCAAAAATAAGGAGAACCTTAGGACCTGGGAGCTAGGGAAGCTGTGAACGACCGGCCGTTTCGCAAAAAAAAAAAATTCTTCATGTGCAAGGTTAAGAAACAATGGCGTCGGAAGAAGAAGCTGGGAATCTGCGGAGCAAAGGGAGTCAGGGCACAGAGAGGGGTGCGGAACGGAATGAAGGGTCAGTAAGGGACCGAGAATCAACAAATCCGGAGGGGACCAAGGAAGACGGGAAGGACCTCTCGACGGGGGAAAGTTTGGGAAAGCCCGGGGGAAGTAAGCGAGGATCTCAGGAAACTAAGGAAGGAAGAGACAAGGAAAGGTCAAGCCCGCGAAACTCAGATGGAATCATAGCCAAGAAAACGAAAGTCTCGGATGCCCGGCGTAAGCTGGCAGAAATAGATAAACGAACCGCAGAGTATAAGGCGAGGCTTATCGAACGAAACGAACTTTCCGGGAGAAGAACTATGAGAAGAGCGCAAGGACTAGCCGGGGCAAAATCAGGCACGGAGGAAAGGATAGTAGCCACAGGGGGACACCTAACAAAGAAAGGAAGGGAAAGGGGGACTCCCTGGTTGTAGAAGCGGAGAAGGCTACAAACCCACCTGCCATAGACATTGGTGCTAGCCGCTTGCCTGTCGCGCCAAAAGTAATGAAGGGGTGCGACGAACTTTGGGGTCTCAGGGAAAGGGTACTAGGATGGTTTGATCCGGAGGGAACGACAACAACCGGAGAAAAGCGGAAGGATAGCAAGGAAGAAGAAGGGACTAGTACGACGGGTGAAACAGGTAGTTCTGAGAGCGGGCTCAAGAAAATAGTATCCACCCTCACTCGGGCATTGAACAAAAATCAGGGCTACCTCGCGGACGCCAAGAAGAAGCTTACCTTTAATGGGGCAAACATCACCGAATTCTTGATAGGCTATGAGAACCTAGCAGCCCTGTTGAAATGGAGCGAGGAAGAAAAGATGGACCACCTAGGGCAACATGTGTCACTAAGCCTAGGAAAGGACATTATGGCCATCGTCGCCGCCAGTGGATCCTAGAAAGAGACTCAAAATGAAATGATGAGGAAGTATCTGAAGGCGGAGAAAATGACAACAGAGGCTGAATTGGCGGTCATACTGAGGAAGAATTATGCGACCTACAACGACTTTCTGAGGGCATTCACCCTAGTGGCGTTACCGATTCCGGGGGTAACAGACCGAATCATGAGCAGGTATTTCCTTAGACAGTTCTCCGAGTTCGATAAGGATAAGATTTTGTCAGCCTACTAGCAGACTAGTAAGTTTGAGTACACGAGGGACGTGGACTTCAGCACGGTAACGGATCTTGCCGAAAAGACAGTAGTGACCGAGACGCTAGCCTTGCTTAAGGAAGGGTAAGTTATAAACTTGACCGGGAAAATGGGGGACAAGGTGAAGAAGGGGATAGAAAGCTTGCATGAACGAGTGCACGGGGTTGATAATAAGATAGAGAGAGTGCAAAATGTGCTACTGGTACTGCAGGCGCAGGTGTCCCAACCCGCCCTCCCGCCCCAAGAAACCATAGTCCCAGCAGCAGCGGCGAATCGGGAATACAGCGGGAAGGACCCGGCCAATGAGCAATGCAGATATTGCACGATGGTCGGATACTTCGTACGAACCTGCCCAAGACTCAATCACAATATTATGAGGCAGAGGTGTAGTAGGTCCCTTAAAGGTGAAATTTTCGGACCCCAGGGGGAGCAAATAAACTGGAATTCGCCGGGCGGAATGCGGCGCGTCGTCATTGTCCCGAACAACCTGGATATAGCCGCCGTAGAAGCCGAGCCGGTAGCTTACATTGTTTGGGATCAGCCGAGGGGGGGAGCACAAGTCAACTTCATCCTAGAAGGTAATGGACAGGATAGGGTGAACATCACCACTCGGCGCGCGGGGGCGGAAAAGAAACTTATCCGAGATACGGTAATGGAGGAGGATGCAGGAGCTAGCGTAGATCAAGGTGAACCTGACACCGGGGAGCCAAAGAAAGTCTACGGAAAGACAAGGGAGGAAGGACCAATAGACAAGGCCACAGCGGCAAAGAAGAAGTTTAGGTACCAAATTCCGATCTTGACCATGCCAGAAATCGACAACACCCTGAGCAAGTTGCTAGGTACCATGGTGTCGGTATCTTTTCAAACTATGCTGCAAGCAAACCCGAGACTGCCCAAAGGACTCCGGCAGCTGCTAACGCGTAGGCTCGTTGAGGTGGAAGAGGCTCCGGAACCGCAGGAGCAGGAAACGGAGGAGGCTGAGGCACCGTAAGGGGTCGCCAACCTCCAAAGGACTCCAAGGGATCTGGAGGACGTGGAAAAGGCCTTTGTGAACATCCGCTTAAGCCTACCTGACCGAGAAGGCGGCGAGGTCATGCGGGCACCTCCCGGGACGAAACTCAACTTCCATGCACTTTCGGTAGGGAAGTTGAAGGTCCAGATCGGGACCCATCATACAGACGTATTAGTGGACGAAGGTGCGGAAATTATCCTCATAAGGAAGGATTTCGCAACATTTACAGGCTGCACGGTGAATAAGGAAGTAATAGGAAGTATCCGGGGAGCCGGTGGCGAAATTCCCTTTGCAGGGTATGTCACGAAATGCGCAGTTAAGGCAGGAATTAGGGAGTCGATCTGGTCATTTCAGCGGATGACCGTGATGGAGGAAATGGACCATGACATAATCCTCGGGAGGCCATGGTGCGCCAACGTGGAAATGATAGGCATGCACCTGCACGATGGCACGTACATGGTAGATATAGAGGACCCAGTGACTGGTCGGGGAGAGCTCCTCCGACTCCTTGGGACCGGAGGCGACCCTCCGAAGGGTAAATTGGCAACTTGGTCACCGACATTCGAAAAGAGTGCGAGGAAAGGGGCATTCGCCCGGATGGAAGGTATGAGAGAAAGAGTGGAAATCATGATTGATGAGGCCTTTAGCAAAAAGGAATGGATCAAGATGAGTCTGCCTCTGAAGAAAAGAAGGAAAGAAGACGAGGTCCTGGGGGTCATGGTGACAGAGAAGGAACCGGAAGTCGAACTCAGGGCTAGTCGGCCTAAACCGAAGGAGTGTCGGAAGGAAATGCTAGAGATAACGCTCGAAATTCTAAACCTGCTGCAACTTATTATGGCTATCTAGTACCACAAAGTAGGAGTGGACCCGGCAGCACTTGCCAAATTTGAGGATGAGGTTCGAAAAGGCTACTGCCTGAACGGGAAGATAGTCAGTATTCAGTCGCGCGTCGTGGAAGTAACAAGGCCGATCTCGACCGTTCATTTTTTAGAAGAACGATCCCAGAAGGAAGTGTTCAAAAGTACAAGCCGGTAGGGAAGAAAGCCAAGTCGGTCTTGATCCTAGTAAAAACATCAAAGGAGGAGGCCATGAAGAAAGAGGAATAAATTTTGTGGATAATAAGGAAGAGGCGAGCGGCGGAAGGGCATCGGATACCTGATGAGGTAGCAGACACCATGAAAATAGGGATAGATGGGTTCCTAACGGCGGAAGAGATCCAGTTGATAAGGAAATCGTGCCAGGAGTTTCACTTAGCATTTGCCTTTAATGACCATCAGAAAGGTCAATTGGATGCAAAGCTAATTTCCCCCGTTAGGATTCACACAGTGGAACATGAGTCCTGGAACGACAAAGGGTCTGCTTACGAGTTCGGGATAGCGGCAGAAGTCACCGAACTACTTAGAGCCAAGATAGATTCGTTAGTGGCCGAACCCACCGCATCCCCCTACGCGAACAATTGGTTTGTTTTTCGGAAGCCCAACAAGACGCTCAGATGGATCCAATATTTGCAAAAGTTGAATGCGGTAACAATCTGAGATGCGGGATCGCTCCGATAAGACGATCTGCTAGCAGAATCTCACGCTGGCCGGAGCATTTATTCCTTGATAGATTTGTATTCGGGGTATGACCAACTGTCGCTCGATGCCAGGGATAGACCATACACCGTCATGCACACCCCTGTAGGGCAGCTGCAGATGCAAGTGACCCCTATGGGTTTTACAAACGTTGTGGCAGAAGCACAGAGGAGGATGCTTGCAGTAGCCGGGGACATGTTCCCGGAAAAATGTGAGTCGTATATAGATGACAATCCCATAAAAGGGGCGCAGAACAGAGATGAAACGGAGGTTCAGCTGGGCATACGGAAGTTCGTCTGGGATCACCTTCAGGATATCAAGGACCTACTTCAACGGTTCCTGGTGTATAATATTACCGCAAGCGGACCAAAGAGTATCCTGGCGGTCCCAGAAGTGACCATACTGGGATTTCGTTGTGGGGCCTACGGAAGGAAGCCTGACCCGGCAAAGACGGATAAGATCTCTCAATGACCAACACCCTTGCGCACCACAACGGAAGTACGAGCCTTCCTAGGGGTGGTTGGATTCTGGAGGATCTTTATCAAAGGTTTTGCCAAAATAGTCGAGCCCATCCGTGCGATGATTAGGGATAAAGGGACTATGGAATGGACCGAGGACAGGGAAGCAGCAGTTCAGACCCTCAAAGACATCATGTCCTCCGACCAAGTCACCTTGGCATCACCCTGCTTCAATGACGAAGTGGGACGACCCTTTATCTTGGAAACAGACGGAGGACCATTGGCGATAGGAGGAGTCCTGATACAAAGGAGCGAGGAGGGCAGAGAAAGGCCTATCAAATTCGAAAGTAGGACCCTGAATTCTGCAGAACGGCGATACTCCCAGTTCAAGAAAGAGGTCTTAGCCATTCTACATTGCCTTAAGACCTTTCAGACATACCTATTCGGAAGACGGTTTATCCTGAGAATCAATCCGACCAATGTCGTCGGGGCATTAAAGAACTATAAGCCTATAGACCCGACTGTTGGGAGATGGATAGGCTTTATCTGGCAGTTCGACTACAAGGTTGAGCGAATTGCGGGGCTCCGGAACAGGGCTGACGGGCTAAGTCGAGTCTGCATCACGCCGGAAGGAACAGAGGACGCGGAACCAATCGGCGCCTTCCTGGAATATGAAGGAGGAACCCTCGCCACGGATAATGAGATGATGAACCTCGCTCGCACACCAGGACAGTTGTTGGTTCAGACCCTTGAAAAGGGGGCGCCTGCTGTAATTACGGAACTTAGGGAAGGGCCACTCACTACGATTAGACGAAAAGATGAGAAGGATTCGTGGGGGGCAACAGTGGGACCAAAAGTGGAGCTGATGGCGATGGCCATTGAAGGAGGTCGGGACGCCGTGATGTGCCTTGTGGAGTCCTGGACACAAAAGGAACGGCAGTATTTAGTAAGTCAAGCTCAGGAGAAGCGAGATATGGACCAGAAGGGATAATAATTTTTCCTCATACAATTGTATGACGACATCTTTTGAGAGATCGACCTGTTACTTATAGGAAATAAGCAGCCTATGGAAGTCAGTCCCAAGGCAAGGGAAGAAGCTGAAAAGTATGTCCTGGGGAACGACCACCTGTTCAAAAAGGAAGAAGGAATGACCCCAAGGCGAGTTGTGTGCGGGAGGGCTAGGCAGTTGGACGTAATTCAGGCAATGCATGATGGACTAGCCGGAGGGCATCGGTCATCGAAAGGGACCCTTGCAAAAATCGCACCGCTTTACTTCTGGCCAGGCATGGCGGGTATGGTGGCTACGTACTGTCAAACGTGTCTGATATACCAAGAAGGGAGTTTCGCGCGTATCTTTGAACCTCTAAGACCTACTCGGGTGTTGGGGCCGGGACATCTGGTCCACCTCGACCTTGCAGTCATGCCTGTATCGACTGATGGATACAAGTATATCCTGGATGCAAGAGACAACCTCAGTGGTTACGTAGAGGCAGTGGCTCTTAAGAGAAAGACGGGAAAGGGAGTGGCCGACTGGATAAAAGACTTCTACCTAAGACACCCCTTTGTGCACAGGTTCATAGCGGATAATGGGACGGAGTTCGTAAATCATGAAGTGCTAAGCATGCTTAAGATGTTGTGCGTACCTATCAAGATCATCGAACCATACCATCCTGAGGCCAATGCACCTGTAGAAAGGGGGCACCGGACCTTGAAAAACACAATCGCTAAGTTGGCGACAGATGACCTGGGGAACTGGCCTCGGTACCCTAAGCAGGCAGCCTTCTCAGAGAACATGACGCCGAAAAGGACGATGGGATGCATTCCGGCAGAGCTCTGGTATGAGAGGGAGATTGATTTCCCAGTGGAAGCATTGGTCCCCACCTGTAACAGGCTAGATGACAATCCGCACATGTCTACGGAGGAATTAATCGCCGCACGATGCCAACAGGTCCTTAAAAATGAGGAAGCCTTGGAGAATGTGGTTAAGCGTGTGATGGATAGCCGAATGAGGGACAAGACAAGGTGGGACCAGGTCAAAAACATCCGGAAGGAGCCGCTCCAGATGGGGGAAATGGTACTAGTTAGGAACTCGGCTCTTGAAAACACGTGGTCTGGACAGCTGGGAAGAAGGTTCAAAGGCCCCTACAGGATCGCTAAGCAGGTGGGGCTGAACACCTTTGAACTTGAGGATCTTGATGGTACTGGAATAAAAGGGCTATTTCCGGGACAGAGGCTGGTCAGGTTTTTGAGCTGGGATCCGGTGGAGCAATGGTTGCAAGAGGCTCAGAACAAGGAAGCAGGGGAATTAACAACTTGAAAGGCAGGCAGCTAGCCGTAATCCTGTACCGCTTCTCTGCGGAAGTGATCATGACTGCAGGGTTTGTTTGTTTTTGTGTTTCTTCCCTTTTGGGGCATGGGGTGACTGCTTGGGCTGAGTACGGATGGGGTTGGGAGCCTCGGGACAATGTATCATAGTTTTTGTGGGGTAATGTTGGGACTGGCTATATGGGGTACCTATGGGCTGGGACAATGTGCCATAATTTTTGTGGGATAACGGGATCGCCACCTATGTCGTCACTCTGAAAGGACTATCAAGCATATGGGGGCGAGCAAGGGTTCTGGGGAGTGAGCCTGCAAATTCGCAATGGGAGTGGGAGGGAATGTGTGTGTATGGGGGTTGTTGTGTTTCCTCCTTGATTATGAATGCACAAGACCAGGGAAGAAGAAAACAACAAGGAAAGACAAAGATGGAATTCGGGAACGAGAACGACAACAACATCATCAACAAGCCCAGCGGGGAACAAGGGACAAGGCCGGTTGGGGAACCAAGTACCAGGAAAAGAAAGTTGTATATGGGATTTGACTTCAACTTGGTTGTAGGAAGGGGTGGAAGTAAGCAGGGAACCAGGGGACCCTCACCCCTGAGAGAAGGGGAAGCAATAGACGTCCCATCTGACAGTGGGAGCAGTGAGAGGGAGAATGCGAGTCCGAGGAAAAGACAGAGGTTGGACGGGGAAGATCCCAACGAGGTCATAGATATCAGCAGTGGGGAGGAGGTCGAGGAGGTCACGGCGTCGACAGAGGAAGTACGGGCAAGGGATGGATATCCGGAGGATGAGAATGACAAATGGATAAAGGAGTTTGGGCCATCCTGTAGTGACTGGTTTGACCAATGGACCAGTATCATGCGGTACGAGTGGGCGGTCAAAGCACAAGAAAAGCTAAGCAGGGGGGAGGACATAGCGCCAACAACCTTTTTCACGAAAGGGGCGCTTCTCGATCTACAAAGGACGAAAAGGAGGATTCAAAGGGAGATGGATGCTCAGGCAAGGCAGACCTGACATAAGGCAGCTGAGTAACAAGAGGACAATGGACGTAGAATTGGATAATCATAAAAAGGGGAGGACGGATACCTGGGACAGACAAACTGTGATGTTAAGCTTTGCATTTGAATTCTTAGAAATAGATCGCTATGGGATGACTTCTGGCTTAAGGAACGACTAAGGATCGGGTAGCTAGTGCTACTTCGTATGAGTACTTGTTTCTTTAGAAGAACTTGATGACCAATGGGCTTGAGACTAGAGCTATGAGGGGTTGACTTTGTCAAAGGAAAGCAAAAAAGGGCAATAGGGTACCTAGATAAGACAAGACTGAGATGTTGTTCTGGTATTTGAATTTCCTTTTTTTGAAAAAGTTGCAACCGGATTGCTCTTTGAGCTGGGGAAGTAAACAGGGATTGGGTAGCTAGTGCGACTTTGCATAAGTACTCGCTCCTTTGGAAAATGTGAGGATCAATGATAGTGAGATGGGAACTGGGAATGGTTAACGCTGTTTTGGGAAAGGAAAAGGGCATGGGGATTGTCGAGATTGAAGAAAGTTTATGGCAAAAGAGTTTTGTGAAATGTGTACCCTTGGATGAATGAGTCATGATATAAGTCTTTGTGAGAGGTTAGGGGACCTATGGGTAAAGAGGCGCGAAGGGTCCTCTTCCCTAGGAGCCTAATCCAACCAGTCGCAAACAAGTCTAGAGCAGCAAAGGGCATGAGAAGTCAGAGAGAAAGAAAACAGTAATGGCGCACACTCCCTTGCTATGGTTGAACGACCGGGTGGGCTAGTGCTGCTTGGGGTTGCGAGCCTCAACCTGAGCACTAGACGCTAAGTCGGATGTATGCACGGACATGAGAATGGTGTTGACATGAGACAAAGGGAAAGGCATGCGTAAAACCCAAGAAGATGGCCACCTTCTAACCCTGAGACAGAAATGAGATCCATGTCCTCGAGGCCCATCCCCTCGGGCACTAACATTGAAATGGATAAGGACAGCCTTGACAAGGCCGGCCAATTGGAATGGATAAGAATGACCCTAACCAGGCTGTTCAACTTGAGAATGGAAAAGGAATGACCCTAACCAGGCAGTTTCACTTGAGAATGGAAAGGAATGGCCCTAACCAGGCTGTTCAACTTGAGATTGGAAAAGAACGACCCTAACTAGGTTGTTCGGAAATGGCCCCTGACAAGGGTTATTTCTTTTGAAATAGGCACTGGGGTCCCCTGCGAAAAGTTGATTGAGAGATGTTGATTGAGAAAGAGTTGGAATGAGCACTGTGAGATGGAAAAGTCCGGTGGGTCGGTCATTGAAATAGCCATGATAGACGGATGGAAGAAAGGAACGCATTGAAAAGAGAAGGGCAGGATAAAGAAGGCCGGACCTCAAAGATGAGAAAGACATGGGCCGTTGGGACGGTCATAAGAATTGGACATTGCAAAGGAGGAAGTTGAGGATTGGAGGTAGGCCGACGGGTCGGCCTTGGAGAAGAGCTATTGAAGAAGCGACCACTGGATCGGTCATGAGGGGTGGCCTTATTGATGAAAGGTTGTCGGACCAGCCATGAGAACCAGCTATGAGATGGAAACAGCATTGGATTGAGTAATGAGAATTGGATATTGCATTGCATAAGTCAGGGCACCCTAGGCAATTTTGAAGAAAGGTCGTTGGGCCGACCATGGAAATGGCATTGAGAAAGATTTTTCCCTTTCTTCTAGTCTTTGGCCTCAGCAGGAGGGGGATACCGGTGCCTGCACCGCGATCCCAAGACCTCTATCCTTCTAAGGAAAAAGTCTCAGCGCGACCTGTTCCTCTTAAAAGGGGATGAGGGTTAAAGGATCAAGGCACCTATCCCTTGGATCGGTGCGGGCCGTCCGGAACTAACCCCGACAATGAGCTTTAGTCGGGGAGTTCAAATTGCGCCTCATGCTGAGAGCCTAAACGTCAAAGGGTGAGAAACCAAATGGGTGAGAGAGTCATTCTTATTCTGGTCTCCTTCGCTCTCTCCAACCACACGCTATACCATAGAGGGGTGGCATGGCCGTTTGGGTCGGACTTCTGCTGCCCTCGCTAAGTTGGGCGGCACTGTCCAAGGGGAGGGGTCGGACGAGGTACCGGGTGGAGTCCGCTACCACCACGAGGCATTGACATCGCCAGAACATTACAACCGTTTCGGGACTAACCGCGAGGTCTTCATAACTGCACTCGCGAACTAATAGAGAGCCCCACTCTCTTGAAAGGAAGAGGCCGGTTCCAGAAAAATTACCACTCGGGAGGAACGATTCGCGAGGGAAGCTCTTACGGCTAGACGAGGCCCTGGGAGGCTTGGACTGGACCTGCCTGCCAGATGTGAGGAGGAACCTCAGTGTTGGTGCTCGCCACGTAATAGTAAAAGGTCGAACCAAGTAGAAGGATGAGGCGCCACCCGCTGGGGAATAACTGATCACTCTTCCTTTGTGAAGCGGATGGGCTTGTGTCCTTGACTGCGGTCGGCGGGCTAAAGGTCTGCGTACCTCCGAGTGAGAACCGGTCACACGATGGGGACATCACGTTTTGAGTGGGGGGAAGGTGCGCCATCTACCGATACCGATGGAAAAACATGCAGAAGAGAAAGGACTTGTGTAACTGGCTTTGCATGGGCTCGAGAAAGGGGCTTGGCAAGATGCTTTGAACAGAAAAGACTTGTGTAATTGACTTTGCATGGGCTTGAGAAAGGGGCCTGGCAAGGCGTCCAGAAGAGAAAAGACTTGTGTAATTGGCTTTGCATGGGCTCGAGAAAGGGGACTGGCAAGATGCCCAGAACAGAAAAGACTTGTGTAATTGACTTTGCATGGGTTTGAGAAAGGGGCCTGGCAAGACGGCCAGAAGAGAAAAAACTTGTGTAATTGACTTTGC